ACGTGAAAGCCTGGTTGGAGGATAGTTTGTTACACAGAAATAGCTGATTATAGATCAGAGGCATACAACTGGATTATACTGAAAAGTGCCCTGGCTGTCTTTTGAGTTTTCCTTCTTTGTTTTAACTGATCTACCCATCATTTCAGCTTTACTGCTGCCTTAGTATTTTCCTCTTTGTATTCAGGCTTGCCTAGAGATCTTTATTTTTTCATCTCTGGATGGATCTTACTATTTATTCCCCCTTTCCCTATTAATTCTCAAATGGGTGACCATCATATACAACCTCCAAGTTTGCACTACCCCTGTCCTTCTTAACTTTTGAATTCCTGCTTTTACCTCAATTGTTCTATGATGTAAAATTCCTGAAGTTCAGGTAGTTTTGAACCACAAAGCCTGGTGGAATTTTTTTTACGTATCCATTGCTTTAGGGAACCATACTCACAGCTCTCCTCAGATAACCAAAATGACAAAATATGAACTGCCCTCTTTGGAGCAGCCTTGATATTCATTCATTCATTCATTCACTCCATCAATGAGATGTCTCTGTGTCTTGAGACTCTTATGTTACTTAACAGGAGAAATAATGGCCAGTTCAGACAAGAATATATTAAAGACAACTGACATAGACACTACTGATCTAACTCAATTATGGTACACATCATTTTGAAAGACTTGTAGAGGCTTCTGTGGCTTAGGGGCCTGTGTTCTGTCCCTTTAGTCAGCCCAGCATGTCTCAGCACTGGCTTCATATTTGAATCACCAGCAGAGATTTTAAGAAACACTAATCATTGAGTGTCACCTCTGGAGATGCATTAGTGTGGGCTAGGGCTCGGGAATTAGGAGGTTTTAAATGGCCACTAAGTGATTTTAATGTGCAGTAGGGGCTTGAGAGCCATTGACTGACCTAAATCCCTAATAAGGCAGCTTAAGATCATTTTACCTTATCTGTCCTCCGTGGAGACAGAGGAAAACAGTGGCTGGAGAATGAGGCCCTTGAATTTAACTGCAAGCACTGGACAGCTTTTCAGTCTCAGGTTAAACAAGCCCAGTTCTTCCAACCTTTCTATGACATCCATATTTGCAGCACTTTAATCACTCTTTAATCTTGTTTTGATTTAGCTCAAATAGGTCTGTTTCCCTGGAGAAAGCTTTCCAAGTTAGATGCCTCTGTTTTACAGAAGCACATAACCCTGATAGTTCATCAATTCAGCTGTGAATTGCACAGGAGTTGTTATGAAATATATATCTGGAAAGACTCAGCAGACTGTTGAGTTTCATTCCTAGGTTTGTGCTAGCTAAAAATGAAACCACACATCCCAACCAGGAGACCTTTCTCTGTTGTTCTGAAAGTATGGCTAGCAGTATATCTGGTCACTTGGCTGAAGGGTCACCCAAGGATACTCAAGACCTCACTTTCATCTTCCTGAATCTTATTGTCTTTGGGGAATTGCAGTAAACAGTGGTCCCAAAGAAACTCTGGTTTGCTCAAAAGTCAACCTGCAGATGCAGAACCTAGGAATGGGGCAGGGGAGGGGAGGGATCTTGGACACAGTCTTGGCCATTCAACACACATGAGCTTGATTGACCATCATTAAACTTTCTCTAATTGGAGTCACATTTGTTGTCCTTTCATATACATATGCATGGCTGTTCTTTCCTCTAAGTCACATCAATTTAAATTTTAATTTGCTTATAATTCCAAGAGAAATTTGGCCTATTATTATATTGGAAATGAGAGAAGCATAGCACAAAGATCTTCAGAGATGGCAAACAGGAGCAGAGGCAGCGTGTTCTGGGCAAGGGGATCGTAATAACATGCTGAAAAGAGAGGCTTCATTCATGTGGGAGCAGGTGTCTGTCAGTCTGGGTTTGGAAGGAAGGGTGGAGACTGGTCATCTCCTGAGAGTTTTTCCCCTTCAGGGTATTAACACATATATAAAGCTTTTAGGTCCTTGAGATAGAGTAAGAATCCAAAGCATGACAAAGCATGACTTTTAAAAGTTCTTCCTGCAATCTGAGTCTCTAAGAAAGGTTCATGATCGAAGAACTTATTAGTGAAACCTGCGTTGCTGTTTTAGATGTCACAGAAGCATGGAGGATGGAGGCTGAGGAGACAAGATGTGTGTTGTTTTCCAGGGTTCTTAGAACTACGTGGTATAGTATAGGTCTTGACTTCCCTATTCATAAGCCAGATATGCCATTTCTCTCTCTCTCTCTCTCTCTCTCTCTCTCTCTCTCTCTCTCTCTCTCTCTCTCTCTCTCTCTCTCTCTCGTGTGTGTGTGTGTGTGTGTGTGTGTGTGTGTGTGTGTTCTGATAGTAATTGAACCTAGGGCCTTGTATGTACTAAGCAAGCATCTACCATTGAGTTACATCCCCAACACCTATTGATCATTGTGTGGTCTTAGGCAATTTCTCCAAACTTTAAAACTTGTCTTATCTCACAATTGCGATATTATCTATAAGGAGGACTGAGAGAATTTTGGTAAAATCCTTAGAATTAAAAAGTACTTCCACATGTAGAATGCCCAATAAACCCAGTTATCAAAAGTACCACTGTAGTTAAATGATTTAGCACAAGTGCAAACACAGTTGCCAGTGCTAAGTCGACTCTGGATCTTTCAAAACTCTGATGCTACGTTGTCTGATGATCCCATGATGCAACTGTGGAGGGGGCAGAAGCTGACCAGTGTGTTCAGTGCCACTTATGTATTAATGCAGAAACAAGACCAATGAAGCTTCAAATCAAGAATTGGGCCGGATCTCATTAATTCTATGCTCCCCCTTTCCCACACAAGCCACCTCTGTGGATTCAGGAGGGGTTCCCTGTGATACCTTCAAAGGGAGAAGAAGGGATGGGAAGGGGAAGAAAGACTCATCTGTTTGAATTCACAAATCAACCCTGGAAGAAACTAATCTAATTCTTATTTAGAAAAGCAGGTGAGGGGCTGGGGATTTGGCTAAGTTGGTGGGGTCCTTGCTCAGCGTGCATGAAGCCCCAGGCTCATTCATAATAACACATGAACCAGGCAGAGCGCTAGCAATCAGAAGATCAAGGCAGAAGAATAAGAAGTTCAAAGTTATTCTCAGATACATATCAAGTTGAGTTTTAGACCAGCCTGAGATCTATAAAACCCTGACATCCCCCCAAAAAAGCAAATGATACAATATTTACCCAACACTGCTTTAAGACACCCAAAAGCATGAACCCTCATTTCAGTCCATTTAGTCACTATTAAAGTCATCATGGGTTATTTACTGATGCAACTGAAGGCAAATCATAAGAAAAATATACCTACAATGCAAGATACTTGGAACACATTGCACCTGAGATGCCCCTGAAAAATATTGTGGAAGCAATGTTGGTCTAATTAATTACTGTGATCAGGTATCTATGGAAACAGCCATAGATTTGTCCTTAAGCCAGACAAGCACTTACTCACTTAATAGCACAGGATCCACCTAAGCTGAGCTTGATGATTACACATATTAGTTCCTCGCATCGCATACAAGAAACAGAGAGAGCAGAAAGGATAAGGGAAATAAACACACAGAGGAAAGAGAGCCTGCCACACAGCGCGATCCCAAGCCTACAGTGAGTAGCAGGAAATCCAAAGCCAAAGGGAGACTTCATTCACTTGCCACTGCTTCTGAATGAGCCCCGTGAAATGCCCCCCCTTGGTGCCACAGTGCACGGAAGTATCCTATTAATAGCATGCCTCAACTGCTTTACTGGGTTAAATGGGTTAACTGGGCTTTTGTTGTATGGCCTTGTAACATTGTAACCATTTATAACATAATTGCTATGGGAAACTGTGTTCTGAATTCCAACTACTCAACTTGAAAACCGACTTCTGAAATACATGCGCTCAGCAGAGCACCCTATGTCTCCAGAGAAACAGCAAAGGGTTTAGAAAGAGTCCCCTAAGCCTCTGAGGGTACGGGTGCCCCTATAGGGCACTTTCCACGTGGGTGATTAGAAACTTCAAACTTCTCTGGTCCTCAGTCAGCGGCAGTAGAGCAGACATCGCTCCATCTATTTCATCTGGAATGTAAGCGCCACCAGGGCAGGAACCATGCCCCTTCATCACCCCAGCTCCTCTAGCCCTCCGTAAAGATTTGGGGAGTAAAGGAACGGAAGAATAATTGCCTACCTCCCAGCACTGTGAGCAGAATCGAATGGGATAATGCATGTGGAAACAATTCAAGAAGCTGTAAAATAGAATACAAATGAGAGACATGATAATTATAACCTATTGTTACAGACAGAATGTCACCTTCTGTGCGTTCCATGTAAATGAGGATGTTTGTGTTAGTGTTAATTCGAATGGCTGAGCCAATATCTAGAATTCTGAGTAGTACAGATGGGCCATGCAACCTAGGATAGCAGCAGGGGATGAAGACAGGAGGGAGGGGTGCCTAGTGAGAAAGCAAGCAGGGAAGTTAGAAAGAGTGGGGCTGGCGGGAAAATGAGCTAGTTAAAGCAAAAGACTACAGGTAGGAACATTCAGACCCAGGCATTGGTTAAGGATTTTCATGTACCTGGAGAAGGGAGGGCAATTCTATCTGAGCCCAGGCAGAATCACAATGAAGAAGGGTCTGAGGCTATTTTACAGATTTACAAACAAAAATAAAACAAGAAATATGACAAGAGGGAGGCTAGTGCCTGGATAACAGAATAGGGAAAACATACAGTCATTGCTAAGACACGGGATTCAGCACATAGCAGGATGAAGCTGGGCTCAATCAGATCTTGGCCCTCACTTGTGAGCTTGAATGTTGTTTCATCTCCCAGAAACTCCTCCCGGGACGGAGACGTCCAGGTCTACTTGCTGATAGCAAGGTGTGCAATCAGGGAAGAACCTGGAAAACTTAAACGGGAGGAAGCAGGTTTTGATGTCTGGCCCACAGTACAGTGGCCATCATGCCTGTTTGACAAGTGGATTGGGTGCCAGGGTATTTGGTTTCCCTACATGTGACCAGATCTTACCTGTGTCTTCAGACTGGAGTGCCTGTGAACTGACTGACACTGAGCAGCGTACACCTCGCCTGTGGCACAGCAAACCAGAAGTTGCCTCCTGATCACACATGTGAGTCGAAGGTGTTGTGATGTGAACTTTCTCACCAAGCTGCTTTCCTGTGTTTGAGAAAAGCCTGAGGCCACTTCTGATGGTCCCTTCTGCAGTCATACTATCCTGTCTTATTAAGACAGATAGACACCTCTTCTTAAGGATCTGAAGTTCCAACTCCCGCAGCCAATCCTGCCATGCTGTCTAAATTGTTCCTGCCTATGTTTCTTTGGGAATCACTTGAAAAGCCTGGAAATGAGGTGGGAAAGGTTCTTCTTTATCATTAGATAAATATGTATGAGAGAAAGGGACAGAGACAATCATAAGAGAAATTCTTTCAGGTCACTTCTCCTGTTCCGGAGTCCCGGGTGTCAAGTTAAATTATAATGCAGGTAATGCTGGAGTACGATTTTTAAGAAGGTCGTCACATTGCTTCATGAACATGGGTTCAAAAAACTGAGAGTTTAGCCATAGCAATGTCAGAACATCTCCTGAATTAATTACCTGTGCATCTGTTGTATGGAATGAAATAAGACCCACTTTTCTGATACGTAGGATCATTGGGTAAATGAAGAGAGACAATATATGTAAAAGCACTTGGAGAAATTAAAAACACACTCCAGAAATAAAACATTGATTAGCAGGGGCCTATTCAATCAAGAACTGCTTTCTCTGCTTCATACATTTGTTTAAATATACATAAATGCACAGGGTCATCAACAGAACATGTACTCTTCATCTAGCTCTTTGGGTAAACAGCAGTGTGTGTGGAGCAAGTTGTCGAAATTTTCTAAGCAAAAACTCCACATAATCCTTATTCTAGTTTTCTCTGTGTCTATTTCTCCACCTAGAAAGTGCATAGAAAAGGGGGATGTTTTCTTCCACTTTCCCACAGTGATACATATGATAGTTCAACAAAAATGTGTGAATTAGCCTGGGCATTGGCAACAAGCTTTATGTGTGTAATCTCCATGAAACATCTCTCATTTGTCTACTTAAACACCTGATGCAGCCAAACTGGCCAAATGATTAGAGGAAGTCACTGACTCCAGGGCCATAACTCTGTAAGTTCATTATGTGTGAGTTACGGTTTTGAACCAGACTTGGCTTCCAAGGCAAGAACCTCGCATTCCTAAAATAATGTCCCTGACACCAGCAGAAAATGATTTCTACAATTCTCACCTTGAACTCATGTACAACTCCTACCTCATTTGTTACCTGTTTCCTGGATAGGTGACTCTATCTGGCCCTGTCATTTTGCCTTTAATTATCCCCAGCGTTTAAAGGCTCATGCTCATGGCAGAGGAGGCTGCAGAGGGCCAAATTGCCTTAGCAGGTGATTAAACACTCAGGTGGAACCAGGAATGCCATGCACCATGGGCAGAGAGCTCTGTTTCTCATAGAGTTAACGTCTGCTGATGACATCCCAGGGTCAAGCATGGTAGAAGCAGAGAGAGCAAGCCTACTGCGTGCTGGCACTGCACTGATGCTTAGTGTGGAGTGACTAAATGAATCCTTAGAAATGTTCTACTGTGGGACACAAAGTCTGGATCAGAAGCTGTTCCATGAAAGGAATGGAGTCTCATATCCCGAGATTCTGACCGATTCATCCTGGGGTTGGCTATGGCATCCGCATTGTGAAACCACGAAATGATGACACCAAGGCTTTTTAATGGCTGCCAATATTAGGAACAGCTAATATCACTGGAGGTTTATTACTTGCGAGGTATCTGCAGAAGCCCCACAAGGTGTTCCCATCTGTATTTCCTGCTTTTTGAAGAGGGATCCACACCTTAGAAAAGTCAGGGACTTGCCACAGACAACGCAGCTCGAACCTACCAGAGCTGAGACTCTTGCCCTTTTCCCCACAACCCTGAATACAAACCCTTATCACCATTTTATCATCTGTGGCAAAACCCTAAGCTGGAAAATTAAATCAAAGTGTGTATGTTAGAAGCAATTTTCTTGTTTTCTCTCCTGGGGCACTTGTGGTGATGCCAGCTGACTGGCCATCATTATTATTATCACTATTAACAGATTCTACTGCTTAAGCCAGAAGCCAGGTTTTGGAGGCATAAATTCCAGAGGCAAGAGCCAGGGGAAATGCACACAGTAATCGTTCCAGTCACGAGGATGGTGGTCTGCAGGGAAGCGCACATTTGCTTCTATCCCCCAGGGTAGTGACTGAGGAAAGGCACTTCGTAACACATAATTAAGATAAAACTTAACCTTGGGCCCTCCACCACCTTTATAAATCTCCTTCTGTAGCTCAGCCTGCTAGGCACCCATGTGTAGCAATACTTAGAAATACACTCAGCTCCCAAGGACTCCATGGAGCAGCTGGAGACATCCTGCCCTGCCCCCACACAATCAATATTATCACACTGTTAAAAGATAGCCATAATGCCTCAGATCCTTAAAGCCCCTTTGAGCCTAAAAAAGTTCAAAGTACTTTCATATTGCTTCTTTCATTCTATCTTCATAACATCTGAAGGTGGAAGAGGACTTTGGGGGAAGCAGCTTTCATTCCTTAATCCCATCTCCCATATTCTTGAAATTTCTGCTCCTTTCCCTCAAGTGAGGAGCTCATGAGGAGATGACCTTGACTTTGATCAAAGGTCCTTTGTGGTCTTTTTTCAGTATTGCTGTTTGGATTGGAGTGCCAATCTCTGGGTTCTATGCATATTTTCATTGTCTCCCTTGGAAACACCACATGCTAAAAGCTGAGCCCACCAGTCCTCCTCCAGTAAGAGAAGCCATCTCTGCAATGTCTCCTCCAGCATGTGGGCTACTGACGTCTCTCTGATGAGGCCATGATGACTTCAGCTGATTTTTCAAGTGGGAATGGGATCCAGGTGTAAAGCCTTGACCTCAGCATGCATATGAGTACACTCTCAGCAGTGGAAGGGACTTAAGTATTTAAAAGAGCACAGATCTTGATATTCAGAGAAGGAATAGCCAGGACACCTCACCAGAACATACATCGAGAGTGCCGCATCATGTCAGAAATGGCAGTCATCAGATAGGAGAAGAAGTTAAAAGCATATGTAGAGAGCAAGCTGAGAAGACTAAGTGTGGGTGCCAGGGCTTAGATGAGCTTTGAACAAGGTCCCAGTCTCAGGAGTGCTAAGCACAGGCTCAGTGATGGAATGTTCCCTTGCGCAATAGATTAAGACAATGGAAGAGAAAGCATAGCTGAGGCCAAGCCTTGGCCAACACAAGGGTACTGAATATTCCAATGCTGTTCCTACAGGTACTCCTTGGACAAGTGTTCAAGACTCTCCCTCTGCCCACTGTGGATCCTGGTTTGGCCACTGGCTAAGGAAGCAGGAGAGGGGAGAGAAGGCAGTAAAACTGGGGGCTGTGGTTCACTGAGTACACACTGGAACTGGAAGAGTGATTGAATGTCTTATACTATTATTTCCAATCTTGTCTATTGTCATAAATATGGGAACCTAGAGTCTGGCTTGAGCCTGCTGCAGGAGGGAGTCAGACTCATCTAGCTAATTCAACTTGAGGGAAACGGAGAGAGCATGAGCAACCTCTGGGAATTTCCGTATTAATATCCTGAGACCCAGAGTCCAGTCACGTGGGATCTCTGAGGATGTACATGGTCACAAGGGCTGGCCACTGTGTTCATCATCCAGGTGAGATAATAATGTTGCCTTCTCCAGGCTCTGTTTTAAGGAAAGTTGGAGCTAGTGGAATCTAGAGAAGAGTAGGTGTAGCAGACAGGACTTACTAAGAGTCTGTAGACGGCGCTGGCAACAAAGACTCAGACGGAGACTTTAAATATACCCAGAGAGTGAGCAAACATGAGATAAATGAGCAAACACAAAACAAATTATTTCCATAGTCAGCAGCAATGCATGTGTCAGTGTGGGCTCATTCTTGAATGAGTTGCTACTCCAGCCAAACTAGAAGTTGAGTGTTATGATCCACGAGTGTTTTTCGGCTCATGGCCCATGCAGCAACTCACAAAGCAAGATTTGGTTATCAGGCCTGGGATTCACAAGTGGGCTGGGCAATGTGGAGCTTGTGAATTGAGATATCCAAGTGTGAATTGAGATGCTCAAATGGATAGTCACCCTTCTGTGCCCTGTACAGCCTATCATTCCCCTTTTGGCATCAGTGGTGATCTGTTTAGACAGCAGGTGACTCTCATGTCATTATGACTGGAAGTCCTGGACTATGCTAAGGTACTTGACCCTGTGCATACAGCCCTAGATGAGGTTAGACTCTTAGGCACTCATACTTTGACAGGTCATACTCTGATACACAGATTAGCCTTGCAAATTTCTGCCAATTATAATGGGCATAGCAAGCACTTTCACTGTGATGCAAGATACAAGGGACCAAATGGAACTCAACACTGCTGATTTTTTAGAACTTGGAGGGAGGAGGTATAGGACACAGCTGCCAGGTGCCAGAGTGTGATTGCCTAAGACAATAATCCCATCTCTCTAGCTTCCTGCAATTGGGAATGTAAAAGAATCAATCCTAAACAGAGACTGGACTCAGCCATGCAATATGCATAACCTCAGAGTTTCTGCTGTTTTATTGAGATCTGTTTTGAAGTTAAGCCCACTAAAGTAAAGGCCTTGGGCTTCACATGAAGTCTGGGGCATGACTGTATTCAGATAATCACAAAACAGGAAGGAAAGTGAAGATGTACCGGCACTTGCAAGGTAGCAGACAATTATTCATGTAACCCTGACTCACCGCAGACCTGGACTGAGGGTCACTGGCAGACTCATCCCACCCTGATTCAATTAGGACACCACATTTGCTGTGCTATCTCCACCGGCTGTCATTCTGGCTTTACCTGCTGGGCTCAATGCCTGGCTCTGGCCCCCTGTGATGGCTTGGCTCCTCCTCAGCTTCTGGTCTGGGGACCTGTGTTCTCTAACCACCTGCTTCCAGACTCTGGCACATGTCTGTAAATAGTATCTCTCAGAGGAAAGTATCCCAAAGGCTCTGAAGATACTGTGCAGGATCCTCTGGCTTAAATCTCAGACTGGCACATTCGGTAACTTATTTTCCTGGGCATCCTCTCCCTGATCCCACCAGCAGCCCTGGGGAAGGTCTCAGGCTCCAACCGATCCATTTTCACCTTGGAGAACTGGTGAACCTGGGACACTAAATGACTTCCAATACTATATCGATACATTGGGATATAGATGGGTAGGTCAAATCATGACACCTCCCTTCTGTGCCAATGGCTCCTAGATCCTTTCATAAAATCAGAAAACATAGACTCCTGGAGATAGTTCTCATGCTTAGTAAACTGTAGATCCTCCATCAGTCACCCCCTGCACCAACCAACTCTGGAGGTCCCAGCAGATTCCAACTGTGTTACAAACTTTACTGCAAGGCCGGACATGTGGTGAGCATGAAAGGATGCCAGTCAATTGAATATTAATTCCAGAAAATACAGGGACTCTCAGAACTTTAAGCAGACTTAGGTAATTGATTAAATTTCTTCTTTGACAACTGTATGCACACTTACACAGATCTGTACATATATTGAATTACTTAATTTTCCTCATTTGATACCCCATTAGCCTCTACCATTCCTCCTGCATTTCCCATTAGAACTTTTCCCAACAAGCCCATTTCCTGCTTTGGTGTCTTCTTTTTTTTGTTATCATCATCATCATCATCATCATCATCATCATCTTCACAAGTGAGAGAGGGATGATCACTGAAACATGGGAAACGTATCAGTGCTTACACTGCTGTTGAAAAAGACCCACACCTCCAAATGTCCATTGACTACTCATAGTCCCTCAGTGAGGGATGGGACTCCTAAATCCCTCCCCCATATATCATAAAATGATGGTGGGCTCAATCTTGTGCACATTTTAGGCACATAGTCACAGCTATTGTGAGCTCATGAGCACAATGGTCATGTTGTGTCAAGAGGACACTGTTTTGAAGCATTCCTCTTTCCTAGAATCTGCTTTGTGTATTGTTTCTGGCCTTTCTACTATCTCATGATCCTGAGAGAAGGAAACATGCATGTCCTATTTAGGGTCAAGCATTCCTTGGTAACTTATCTTTCATACTTTGACCCAAGGACTTTCAGGCAGTGGTGGCTCACACCTTTAATCCCAACACTCAAGAGGCAGAGGCAGCAGGAGCTCTGTGAGTTTGAGGCCAGCCTGGTCTACAAAGCTACATAGAGAAACCTTGTCTTGAAAAAAAAAAGTCTAGTGACAATAACACAAAGCACTAATTACATCAAATGAAAACAGCAGTGACAGAGTAAGTTGTACAGACTGGAGAAAAAAATCAGTCACTAGATACTTGGAAGTTAGTAAGCACTGCTGTGTTGCAAATCATTGCTAGTGGGAATTGGATTTCAAGCAGGCTCTATCTGATTCCCAGGCCATTCTTTGATGGCTTGGAACAAACAGGAAGGCAGTATTGGCACGTGGCTGCACTTTCCCCTTCTACATCCAGGGAATGACACAGGCAGGACTGCTTTGCTGGGCTAAGAACAGGTTTCATTTTGTCCTGCAGCAGAAAGAAGGACAGGACAGTAAGACAACATGCACAGCAGGAAGCTGGCAGGAGCACCGTTGCCATGGCAATGAGAACATGGAGCAAGTGTGAGGTTTGGGATTAGAGTGTTGGGATTAGCTGGAGGAGATTGGCAGATGATGAGGCCCCAGCCCAGCCTCCAGCTGAAAGTATGCATTGTTTCCTAGAGTGGAAACGTATGAAATAGTTCTTGTAACTTGTGGAATTTGATGCTGTGTTGCCTGCCCTGTCTGTGCATGGCATCTCCTTTAGAAAACCTTGCTTTTGATTGCACGGTCATATTCCTGCTGTGATGTCCTATGTTCTGTTTTGATTTATGTCCTGCAGATTAGCATCATCTGCTCCCACATGCTCCTTCCTGCTTGAAGCAAAGGGCAGAAATGATTCCCCAGGCCAACAGCTTTCTGGAGGCACTTCCTTTTAACACCTTGGAGCCCCTATTTCCTTATCTCTATGGAAGGAATTAGAACACTTCCCTAGCACATAAAAGGCCCTGAATTTGATCTCCAGTACTTCAAGATAAAACGAAAGCAACAAAGGAAGCAAAATACCCGAAACCCACCCTCCTCTCCCCACTGTTGGGAAAGCAGGACAAGACATTGCCAATAAAGAACCAGGAAAGCACCTAGGCTTTTACTTGTGGATGGATGTATCCTGCCTCCCTGGGGGGTTTGTTGGTTTCTTGAAAACTGAAGCCAGATCTTTCTTTGGACTGCTGCAACTACTTATGTGAGCATTCTTTACTTGTAAGCGTGTATGAGAACTGGCCCTGACAACACTTCTTGTGTAGCTTGGTAAGAAAAGCATGCCAGCACGAGAGTGTCCATCAAGTTCTGTGCCTGGAGAGGAGGCAACAGGCAACCAAAGTCAGGCAAGAAAACTAGAGAATGTATAGACATTCAAGAACAGAATGGGGAGAGGCAAAATGGAGTGTTTAGAGTGAACCAAAGATGGACTATATGTACTATGGTCCCTGGACAACCTTCGAATCATAAGCAATCCCATGCCTCACATTAAAGTCACTATTTGGTGAAACTTTCCTTTGCAGACAGCTTGACCTAGAGGAGGAAATGTGTCCCCTGACATCCTTCTAGAAGATGCACACAGGCCATGGGAATGAACAGACTGGTTTCAAAGTCACAGATTTGAGTTTGAGTCTCAATTAATCAACTTGAAAGCTGTACATCCTGCATCAAGTCACATTATTGACTTCCAATATTATTTTTCATTGCACCTGCTATGGTGCTCTTTCTCAGTAATCCCGGTGATCAAACCAAAGGTTGTCTGTGTACAGTGTACTGACAGGAGACACCTAATTGCAGAAGGAGCTCCAATTTAGGAATAATGAAAATTAACATTAACACCCCCCAATCTGTCACTTAAACCAGTTATTCCATTCTGAGGTATCCATTCTTAAACTCCATATCAAGATAGGCTCTATAGCATGTGTTTTCTCCTTAGCCACCAAGAGCTGGGTCTTGAGTTCTCTAGGTCCTGTTCCACTGGGTTTAGGAGAATGGAGGTACTAGTTTCTGGCAAATAGTTCCTTGTTCATAATCCTTCAGAAACAAGCTTCAGAATATTGATCTGCAAAGGGAAAGAGCAAAATATGTTTCCTATATCCCCTCATCTCATTTCTACCATACTCCACCTTGTTTCTTTTAGTCCAAGGTCTATGAACTCTTCTATGTTCCCATGGAAGGGTTTGGCTCTCAGGCAGAGTCAGTAAGTCATCCTGAGAACTAGATCCCAGCAGCCCCCTTGGTGATCCACCAGTGGCCAGTGCTGGAGTGAGTCTCTCCCTGTGGTCCTCTCTTCTTCCTCCTCCTCCTCCTCCTCATCCTCTTCCTCCTCCTCCTCCTCCTCCCCAGAACGAGTTGGCAGGATTTATAGGACTGTCCCAGCGACACACCATCTCAGTAACTGCAGAATGGCAGTTGTAAAAAATCCCATTTGCCAGGGTATTAGAATCCCATTAGCACTCCCAATGGAGAAATAACCCCGACCCTTCAGAAGGAATTAAAGCTATGTGAGCACCAGCATTTGGAGTGCTATAGGCCTCTCCCCAGTTTGGCGGATCACACCAGCAGACATAAAGCTGCAGGCACCATATGTCCTTGGTCCACAAACCCCTTGAGAGTGGCCTGGCAATGATGTATGGGAGGGTCTCTAGTGCCACAAACAGCTCCAGAGTAATCACCAGGAGTCACTGATACGCTTTCCTGGTTTACCTCTCCCTGAGATTGAATCATTTTAGGGAAAATCTAAGACTGTTTTACAACCTCTTGTGCCCCCTTTTCCCCTTCTCTCATTCTAACAGCAATATTCAGGTTCTAAGTGACATCAAGAGCAACACTACAAACACAGCTTGCATGTGATCCTCAAAGCAGAATCAGCTGAAAAACAAAGGCACTCACAATACTGTCCTGGTTGGGTGTGTTTTCAACTTGACACAAGCTAGGGTCATATGGGAAGAGGAAACCTCAGTTGAGAGAATGCTTCTATCAGATTGGATATGGGCAAGTCTATGTGGACATTTTCTTAATGACTGATGTGGGAGAGTTCAGCATACTATGGATGGTGCCACCTCTGGGCAGATGGTTGTCAATTGTGCAAGAAAGGTACCTGAACAAGCTATGGAGCAAAAGCAAGTAAGCAGTTTTCCTCCATGGCCTGTTCTTCAGTTCCTGCCAAAAGGTTCCTGACCTGAGTTCCTTCCTGACCCCCTCAATGGCAGACTGTGACTGAGATGTGGGGATCAGATGAACAGTTTCCTCTCGAAGTTGCTTTTGGCCATGGTGCCCATCACAGCAATTTCTAGTCAATGAAGACAGATACCCTGGCAAATCATTCCACTTTAGGAGGAAACAGATGCCCAAAGAGGTGAAGCAACTTGCACAGGATCACACAGTAATCAAAATGTAATCTCCTCTTTCTGGCCTAGTATTTTCACTACTGGACTCCCTTCTGGTGGAGGGAAAGAGTCTCAGATTGCTTGTGACTTTCTGAGCTATGAGCACTTCTTAGGTCACGGGTTCTGAATGTACCCAGCAGCCCAAGGAGGAGAGAGAGGAAGTGCCCAAGCTTAGAGCTCAGGCATTGCTATGATAGACTTGTGGTGTGAAACACATTAAAATTATTTAATGGGTTTAAATAGTTGTTTCTTAATCTGTAAATGAGGGTCAGCAACAGACGTATGCAGCTTGTAGCATCTGGGGGAATCTTACTAAACACCAGTTCTGATGCCAAGGAGGTGAAAATGGAGACCGAGAGTCATTGTCTTTAACAAGCTCCATGTGACACTGATGCTGATGTCTGGGGACCACACTGCACTGATGAAGGTCATTAAGTCGTTGAAAAATTAAAGACAATGAAACATACATGGTTCTGAGCACGGTGAGGGCAACTATTCAATAAACATCAGCGGTTAACCTCACGTGTGCAGATGAAGCCTGTATCCTACAGACTTAAGCCTACATCCTAACGACCTAGTCCATGCTGGGAACTGAGCCAGGTGTGCAGAACTTCTTGCCATCTGAACCTCAGGCCATACCTGTAGCACAGGTGAGATGATTTCTGTTTCTCCTGTGAAAGAGAACAAGACTCAGAGAAATTAGTGACTCCCCTGTGGTCAAATGGGAGCACAGAGTAATGACCTCAAGAGACGTTCCTTCCACTGCCTTCAAGTCTGCCCCCTTTGCCTGCTATCCGGAGATGATATTGCAGACAAGGTGGATTTCAACGGTGAATGCTGGCAGGTGACTGTCTGCTGCCAGAAGAGGAGAGAAGGCCACATTAGGCAGGAAAGGGGGTGCTGGAGGGCCCACCGTGACAGAAGGAGCGGAAGAGGGTCCATGACTGATTGACGGGTGCATGGTGGCAGGGGATTTACAGATCAATAAATAGACGGAGATCCAGTGAGTTTGACGGATGACAGACATGTGGGGGTGTGCTGGCACCCAGATGGTCAGGGGTGAGCAGCAAGGGAGGGTGAGCTGGGAAAAGTGATCAATCTGGGTCACAGCACACAGGCCCAGAGACAGAGAGAGAGCAGCACATATGATCTGGCACCACCATTTGTGAGTGAGAGAACCTGGTGCCGCGTGGAATGGATGGTGTAGAAGGGTTCTGTTGCTTTCAGTTTCTCCTGGATTTCTACTGAGGAAGCCATATGGAAAGTCCATTGTTCCCCATCCTGAGGGGTTTAGAAGGGCTGAGGTGGTAGGCTTCAGGTCCTGCTGACTTATGGCAGAAGAAGGCAGCCAAGAATCATCAAAGTGAAGGGGATCTTGTTGGGAAGGAAGGCATTCCTGTGTGCCTCTGGGCACTTGAGCCCACAGAATCTGCGTGCTGGAGTCAGAAGTAGACAAGGGAGCCAGAATGGGATGGATATCTCTCACCAGGAATAGGAAACTTTGATCCTGCTCAGGCCTGGTGTCAATTTGAAGCCTCTGGAATCCCTGCAGATGGCAAGCATTTTGCTAAGCACCTCTGCTCTGCCAGGCCCTGATACACATCTAGATGCATGATCAAGTCCAAGACCTGGCCCTGTGAAGCTGTGCTCTGGTAGAGAAACAGACACCACCTCCAGATAGTATAGATGTATAAGGATGGGTGACAGGTGATATGGAAGAGAACAGAGCAAGGGTGTGGGGAAGGACAGCCAGGCCTTGGGCAAGACACTCACAGCAGTCTGTGGTCCATGTGGCTGCTGACTCTATTGTCACTCTCTGTGGTGCTTTCATGGGAGCATGCTGCCCTGAACCTTCTTCCTTCCCTCTATGACATTTGCTGGCTTCTACTATCCTTCCTTCCTCCTAGGGGTATAGGGTTTCCTTCCTTGCTTCCTGCTGTCCTTATCTCCTTGGGCTGCTGTAACGAACAGTGTTGATGAGCAGGGTAGTATAAATGACATGTATTGGCTTTTCAGTGTTCTGAAGGACGGAGAATGCAAAATCCAGCCCCAAGTGTTTCTCCTCCCTCCATGCTCCAGCACCAGACGTGTGATCCATCCTTTCCTTAGCCCGGGACCTTCTTCGTGTTGCTATTTATCCAACCGTCACTTTTCCATCTGTCTAGGAGTTATTTCTCCAGAAAGGGCCTTCATGGATCAGTCCACCAACAGTTACCGCCTCTGCCTTTGGTCCCCTGAATCCACTTCCCGCCTTTGGCATCTTCACAGCACTTCCTACTCCCTGTTGGGGGTCCCAGAGTGGGTCATGGTTAGACAAAGCAGGCCAGGAAAGTCAGACAGCTTGGATTCTGTGTGGATCTCCACATTTTATGAATTGGATGGTCTCAGGTAAGAGGTTTCTTAAGTTTCTGAGCCTCAACTACATCTCTAACAAGAGGTGATCATAATAATGATGGTAATTCCTATTGAGTAGTGTTGTCGTGAGACTCAAGGAAGATGAAAATGAAACCTGAGGACCAGGGTTTCCTAGGCAGTGTTTACTCAATACATATTAGATCCTAATGATTCCAGGGACCATTGGTGCCACCAAAATATCCAGCCTGTGCAAAGAAAAAAAGTATAGCTTCCTCTGAGTGGGAACCTGGGTAAGTTGCAGTTTCTGGGAGACTGTGCTTCCTCCAAAGTACACAGCAATAAGAAGGGACCTGAGCTGCAGAAGTGAACAGAACTGTTAGGAATGGAGGAGTTTGGTACTAATCCTGTGCTAGGATGAGAAAGCACAGTATGCCTGTGCCTGAGGCTCAAGAGGACACCTCTGTAAAAATGGGTAGGGCTGGAGTTCCGAGGAGCGACCCTTACCCTCGCAACCTTTCCTGTGCCATCCATCGCGTCTGTCATTGCCAGCATTTCTGCCCCTTGATTTGTGGTGGAGTGCACACCATCTAGGAGCTTCATTTGCAGTGATGCAGCTTCTCAAAGACACCCAATGATTCACCAAATAATAAAAGACACCCTAATGGAGCACATGTGCAGTTGATAGAGTGTGGAGTTAGTAGACAGAGTGGGTGCAGTGAGGGAAAGTGGGAGGGACCCAGCCAGGCTTTGGGGCTTAGAGGAATTAGTTAAACTTAATACAGAAAAATAGAACATACTAAATTAATAGGAAAGGCCTGTGTGACTGATGGGTTGCTAGCAGTGTGTGTGTGTGTGTGTGTGTGTGTGTGTGTGTTATGTTGTGGTGACTAGGGGGGACATAGAAGAAAGATAGGATTTTTAAATTTCTGTCACAAAGAACAAGGAAAGCCGGTTTAAAGGCTGAAGCATAGAACAATATGCTCTGTTTTTGTCTGAAAAGAGGACATTACTATGTAGTGTGGCATGGACAATGGTTTCAAAAGAAGCAGAAATAATGTATGGAAGTTGCTCTGGAGGAAGCAGCTGCACTGGCTGAGTTAGAGTAGCTTGGAGATGACTGGAGACGGAAATCAGGTGCCTGTGTGAAAAAAAACCCTCCCTGTTCCAAGACCTCCTTGACTGGGTGAATTGATTGTTCCTAAATCCATGCTAAAGTTGACGGAACTGATCCTCTAGGTAGATGAGTGCACAGCTACATAGCTGTTAGGTGACAGAGAGTACCTGGGTCCACATCTCTGGACATCAAGCACGTTTTTTTCTCCAACATCACTTGCTCTAGGAACGATGCGTAGTCTCTTCCAGTCTATGCACCCCCCATTTTCCTATGACACTGTGGACACCTGTTTACTGTCACAGTGTTCTAACCCCTACTCATGAATGAAATAAACATTGTGTCTCATTCTATAGCACCCTGGACTAAAGAATTGCCTCCAAGTGCAAACTGAGTGCACTGTCCAGGGGGATTTTGAACAAATGATGCTGGCTCCCCAAATACCCGTAGTAATGTGAGCCTCCTGCCACGGTCTGTGTGTCCAGGTCACATCTCCTGCCTGGAGCTGACAATGACAAGGTGAGGCAATGCAGAAGTCTCAGTGGCAGGAGCTTGAATTCTTCAAGTTACCAGCAGGTGCCTCCACCAGGGCAAGAGAGCACCAAGGAGATGAAATGAGGAACCTATCGTGTGGCCAGGCCCCAACTTGCAACCCAGGCCCTGGCTCTCCCCCCCAACCCCCAGTTCTTTCCAACAGAGTTTCCTTTCAGGCTCAGCTCAGCCTAGAGGCCACAACTCCAGAATAGGAATGAGTGCTCATGTATATTCAAATGCTAGGATGTGAAAACAGGCTAGGCTAATTAGCATTTTTAATGAAACAAGACCACAGAGAAAGAACAGATGTAATGGGCAATAACTTGCTTTGGAGTTTTTGGAGAAAGCGGAGGGAAAGGTCATGGGCCTGGGTGGAGGTCAGAGTCATCTGCAGGATTCAGGAGAAAGTTGCAAGCATCTTAACAAAATCAAGAACAACAGAAGAACCAAAGATACAAATTCTGCAATATTATTCCAGAAACCCCAACCATCCCTCAAGGGGCTGGGAATCATTAGCTCCATTTTACAGAGGGAGCAAGCTAGAAGTCTCCTTACCACGGCAGAGGAGCCAGACTTTGTATGTGGGTCTTCTGACATGAGAGCTTCCCATGTCTCACCTCTGCTCAGAGCTGCCTCTGTGTACAGATGCTTTCAAATACAGCTTTCAAATATCATCCACACGGGCCTCACACAGGCTCCCAGCAAGAGCCCCTCGCAGACAGTGATCTACAGTGTTAATGCTTAGGTGGGCCGGCTAAGAAGTGCTGCTTACTGGAGCATCCCTGGACAGAACTTCCCTCTCCAGATCTAAACAGCCTCCGGGTGAAGAAGCACCTCCCAATCCAGTGTGCACTAACCCTGCATCATTCCTGCTGAAGAGAACCCAGAGGCTGGCAAGGCCATCCTGACGCCCAAGGGAGACAGCAGGGGGAGGTCTGATACAGGAGCAGACCTGAGCTCCCCGGAGGTGTTCAGTATGTCTGTCTGATGACGGAAGCCTCTGGGACCCTCCTGTGCTTGCCCTCAGGTTGCTGTCATTAGTCCAATATCCAGGCTAATCATGCCATTATCACCTGGCTTTCATTTGCAGGTTGGGGGCTGGGGAGTTCTGTCCCATTTGGCAGGACAGCCAACATGCCCGCCCCTGCCCTGCAGCCACATACCCATTTGGGTTGTGTGTCAGGCGCTAATGGTTTTATTGAATGCATTATTGAACTGAAACAAACTAAATGCTCTCAGATAAAGCTGATGAAGATGCTGTTCCTTCCCTTTTGAGAAGGGTTTTACTCTTTGCTCACAGGGTGGCTGGCTCTCAGGAGCTCCGAAGGGGTGAGATGGGAGTAGATACTGATGGGGATGTGGTGGCCCTTTAACCTTGGCCCTCCCTGAGGGACTCTGGCCTGACTGTGCTTTGCTCCCATCTATCGTCTGTGGTGAGGACTCCGAGTGCTATTATAGGTATCTCATTTTTTACTGGACAAAATGGCATGAAATGCAGGAAGGCAAGGTAAAATTTGCAGAAGGTAAGGTGTCACGGTATCACCAGAGCCCAGCCTGCTGCCCACAAGCACCATCTTCCAGGTAAGGAAATAATCAATCCTAGTGACCTTAAATCTCTGAATAGGAAAAGGCACCCAAACCCTTCTCTGCCCCAAGCCCTACTCAGGTCATGTCCCCCTGTCATAGGTAGATGGGATAGGTTACAGAGAGATACCCCAGTCACCATTTGCTCCCTTCTAGCGTCTAGTTTGTGTCCTGATGAGCGTAGCCAAACCTCTCATGCTTGCTTCTTAACCAAGATTGGGAGAAAAATCAGATATTCTGTAATACTTTCTCCAAATCTTAGTATCTCTTTTGATAAAACACCTCTCTTGCCCGCCAGCATTTTGTTTTGCTAGAATAGTGTCCTGGGAGCAAAGTCAAAAGCATCTTTGTGTGTAATCACTGAAGCACTTTGTTGATGGGTAAGGAGGGACTGGAAAAGACTTACTCTAACCTAGGGCCTTT